CCCCCCCAGAATAGTAATAATCATCCTATCATATAAATGATTTCTCATCTTTATGGCTAGGTTGGTTATGAGTGCTTTGATATTGCAGATGAAGAAGCTAAAGTTCAAACTATGAATGACTGATAACTGCTTATCACTAAATAAAATGGTGAAGGTTGTATGGTTTCCTTCACATGACTCTTGATTCAAAATGCTGTTTTTAAAGACCAATGAGCTTACTCTCCGTGAAGTGTTAAATGTAAGGCTGTTGATAGGAGTACCCAAGATACTTGGTTGTCTTGGTGACCGTGTGTGTTTGTTGTTACACTACGAGGCACACTTAGGTGGTGCATGTTTAGTGCAGGGTTTCTCCATCTCGACCAGGAATGTGTCTGTGGGAGGAGTTACCCTGTGTGGTATTGGATATTTAGCAGCGTATCTGGCCTCTACCCACAGGTGCCAGTATTAATTCCCCCTTTGGGATAGTCTTTAAAGCTCCAGGTGCTGCCATATTTTCCCTGGGGTGACACAATATCTTCATGTTGAGAACTTTCCCTCCCTCTATATAAATTTTACCAAGTGTTAGAACAAATATTCCTCTAGGAGAGGATCTAAATGAAATATTGGACAGTGACTAACCACTTCCTGGAGATTTCCTGTTTCCGGGCCACTCCCACAGCACCCTGTGCTTTCCTTTGCCGTGGCCCTTGGTCACCATACAGCAACTTGCTCTCATAGCGAGCCTGTAGGATGTGTAGTAGAACTGCCCCTGTGGGTTTCTGAAGCTGTGACTCTTGATGGGAGACGATCACGATCGCGTCATCCTTCTTCCCCAGAGCTCTGGTGGTTTCTGACTGCTGACTCTGTGGTTAGCAATCCAGGTCGTTGTTACCCAATACCCCACCAGAGCTCTGGGGTGCATATTATAACGGTGTCCCTCGGCCTCCACCTTTCTCCTCGAGGATTGGAACTATCTCTGTAACTCTTTTGGGTAGTGATAGCCAACAAATGATACAATTGAATTATATAACTGTACCGATATGTATTTGTGGTGTTAACTCTGTAATTGTGACAATTTTACACAGCTATAAAATGTGTTGTCCACATACAAGAAGATCCTTGAAATCCAGCCGCCCAATGTATGGAGCTGTCACCTCATTTTTGCACTCACTGATCATTCATAATGAACCACGATTTGCTATGTTTGGACCAGGTCTGGAAGAGTTGAATACATCTTTGGTGTTGAACTTGATGTCTTCTGAGGAACTTTGTCCAACAGCTGGCTTACCACAGAGGCAGATTGATGGTAATTTTCCTGTTCATCATAATTCAAGTGCATAACAATTGCCATTAATGCTAATTAGAAACTATTTTCTTTTTAAATTAACTCTTTGAAATACTTGAGGGCTTCAGAAAGTTTGTGGGAAAATGGAATTGAAAAATAATGCAGAATCTTCACAAGTTTTTTGAAGTCTCCTCAGGGAGGTATTTGGTGAATGGGAGTATACCCCACCTTCTCAACAGACTCAGAAGAGTTCATTGTTATCAGAGTAAGCTTGCAACGTGTTCTTGAAGTTCTGATGTATCATTTAAGATTGTGCGAAAGTAAATTTTTTATTCAGGGAATATTTCTATAGCAGGTATCATATTTCCCATATTTTCAAAGAAAGCAAAAGTTCTGTCTCTATTGTGTGCAATACTTTGATGTAAATTAGAATTACAATAAGGAACTAAATCTTCATGTTTCTCATATTTCTATGGAAAAAAGCATAGTGGTAAAGCAAAGCAGGATATAAAATACAAATAACATAATCTACCTTATAGTTTACTTATTCATTTAGAGAGAATACCTATTAGATACTAGGAACTCATAGATTTAAAATAACAAGCCAGTCTCTCTCTTTCACTGGGTCTAAGTGAGGTGATTGATAAATATACAGATAATTAGAATATGATATAATGTAGTATTAAATTAAAAAATAATGACGCTGATAGAGGTGGGTTAGGGGGCCAGCCCCCACCGCTAATACTCTTATTACTACTACTCGGATTCAGTAATGCACAATTGTACGGTTGAGATATATAAGCATTATATTAAAGTCATCGAGAGCATGAGAGATAATACAATAATGCAGTCAGGCATGTTACATAGTACCATTGCTCACCTCAGCCCAGCTTGGTGGTCCACATGGAGAGAGGGGGAAGGGAAGGAGGGGAAGGGAACAAGGGAGAGGGGAGTGACCAGGGAGTGAGCAACAAGGAGCTCAGAGTCAGAGAGAGAGAGATCTATCTTGCTGGCTCACACCTATATACCTTTTGGGGGCATGCCAGCCCACTAATTACAGGTAGAGACATACATCACAGGAAGGGGCTGCACTATAGTTTACACAGCAATGAGAGGGTGGTCTAGGGGGTGGTCTCTGGGTCTCCATAGGAACATTATCAGTAGAGTGCAAACTCCGCCTACAGGAACCAAGCTAATGATCCCAAGCTTCAGAGAGTAGTCCATTGTCTCCAGCAGCAGGGAGCAGGCCCACCCCTGTGGTGGGATGACACAGCAGTCTAGCAGCAAGGATCTGACTTCCCACCACAATATAATTAGTTCCTGGATAGGCAGTAGCCTTTATAAAGAAGATGATACTTCACAGAAAGTATTAGGATGAGTAAGAGTAGGCTATCAAAAAAGACAGGGTCAAATTATTCTAGGCACTGAGAACAGCATTTGCCAAAGTTGTGGTTGTGCAGGGCACCTTGGGTAGTTCTGTGTGTTTAGAAAGAAAGGGGCAGGTGAAAAGACACTGGTATGCTGTCCCTAAGCATAGTTAGGACCCATTAGAATATTTTAATGGGAGTAGGGGGATTGGGATCGCAATTTAGAGAGTTTAGTCCAGGTACTATGGAGAAAGTGTTAGAAGGGCCTAAAGACTTGGAACCCTGGTAAAAGCTGCTGTAATCCAGTAGTAGGACTATGAAGAGGATCAGAATAACTTGTAGCTATGGAGAAAGAGAATGAATGTTAAGACAGAGTTGAAAGGATGAATGTGTATGAGCAGTTGTCAAGATGACTCCTGGTTCCTGGTTTAGGTTTCATGTATTGGCAGGTGAATAATCTTGCCTGCAAGATTATGCAGTGAATTGCGAACATTTCATTCCAATCCAAAGCTACATAGAAATTTCTTATTACTGTGTTTGGTTTGTTTGCTCTTTCTGCTTTCACTGGATATTGTATTTCCAGTCTGATTTTTTTGGGTTTATATCAACTTGTTTTCAAATTATAATTTTGTCCTTTAGGTATTGGATCAGGAGTCAATTTTCAATTGAGCAACCAACAAAAATTCAACATCTTGATATTATATTCAACTACCAGGTAAGCCTACCAATTTGGTGGCCTACCCGAGACACTAGAAATGGAACATTTTAGGGGAAGGAAACTTGGTTAGTATTTTTTATATTTTATATTTTGTTTTTCTTACAGAAAGGAAAGAGATAGAGCAAGGGAAGAGCATACAAGTGCAGTGAATAAGATGTTCAGTCTACAGAATGAAGGGAATGATCAACAAGGAAGCCGGTACAGTGTGATTCCACAAATTCAGAAGGTGTGTGAAGTTGTAGATGGGTTCATCTATGTTGCAAATGCTGAAGCTCATAAAAGTAAGCATTCTCTGATTTTCTTTAAAAAAACACTATGTCTTTGCAGAGCAAATAAGAAAATATATTTTCTTATATGTATTTTATATAAGAAGGCACTGTCCTTGCTGTGCCTTCTCAAAAATATGATGTGGTGAATTTTATCAATGCCACTTTATAACTCTGTGACTCTATAGTTAATAACAACCCCCTAAACCTCATGTACATTGTTTACCGGATTATACATATCCGATTCTTACCTTGATTTATGGACTTAAGTTGTATCCAGGAAGCTCTGACGCATATCAATGTTTGACACTACAATGATGTGGTATTTTTGTGTTGTGTGCTTTACTACTTTTGCATTAATTGTTGCCTACTTCTGATTCTTTTAAAATAATTTTTGCAGTTAATTATGAAGATTTTTACCTTCCTTTTAATTGCTCAGATGATAGAGAGTGTGTACGAGGTGGAGTGTTTATCTCAAGCAGATTAGTTAAGAACATTCTCCAAATAATTTAAATAATTGCCATTGACCATGCAATATATGCTTGAAATAAGAATACTGTTAGGCCACAATCCAGTGTTATTATGTCTTCCTTAAATCCTTGGTGAACAGGGTAGGATATAACTATATAAAGGAGGGTTCAAAACGTTCATGGAAAAATTCTATGTTCTCCACAAATTTTTTAAAGCCTTCAAGTTTTATATAAATATATAATATGTATTATAGACAACATCATGCTAATTCGAGCAAAGATTGAAGTTGTCAAGGATTTCATTTTGCATAACTACAATCACTGCTGGCGGAAGAATCAATCATGAAATCAAATGATATATTGAGCAAATTGGCTGCAAAAGATCATTTTAAAATGTTAAAGAGTAAAGACATCATTTTGAGGACAAAGATGTGCCTGACCCAAACCATGGTATTTTCAGTTGTGTCATATGTATATGAAAGTTAGACATTGAGTAATGAGAATCAAATTAAAATGGATGCATTTGAATTATGGTGTAGAAAATAATATTCAAAGTACTGTGGTCTGCCAGAAGATCAAACAAATCTGTCTTGGAAGAAATACTGTCAGAACGTTCCTCAGAAGTGAGTCTGGTGAGATTGTGTTTCACATACTTTGGACATTTTATCAGGAGAGACTAGTCCCTGGAAAGGGACACCATACCTGGTGAAGTAGAAAGTCAGAGAAAAAGAGGAAGACCCTTGAGATGGATTTCCACAGTGGCTGCAATAATGGGCCCAGGCAATTGAGAGGATGGTGCAGGACCAGGGAGCATTTCCTTCTGTTCTGTGGAGGTATCTCTGAGTTGGGACTTATCCCACAGCATTTAACAACATTATAAATCAGTGTTTTGAATTTCCATTGAATTTATTTCCACTAGTATATGTTAGGCATAGAAACAGATATACTCTTAAAATCTGGAGAAAATTATTCATATAAAACAGGGTAGGGGAGGAAGGGGAAAAAAGGGGCTGATTATCAAGGGCTCAAGTAGAAAGTATTTTGGAAATGATGATGGCAAAATATATACCAATGTGCTTGATATAATTGATGTATGGATTTTTATAAGAGCTGTAAGAGCCCCCAATAAAATGATTTATTAAAATAAAAAAATATATATATATAATTAATTTTTATCATGGGTTGGTTGTCTATAAAAGAAAAGCTAGAAGTAAAATCAAGAAGCAAAGGGGAAAAAAAACCCAAGCAAACAAACAAACAAACAAAAAAAAGGAAGCAAAGCAAGATTGATTCACTTATTTGACAAATGTTTGTTGAGTTCACACTAGAGCTAGGAATTGATTTAGTGCTTAGGGTACAATTGGAAATTAACACTAAAACACGTTGAGACCCACTTTTATTTAGTCTAGACTGTGCCCCTATATTCCCCTATAAAATAAATAAACTAGTAAATAAAAATTTATAAAAGTGTGGAGAAGAAACCCCTCCTTCAATGCAAAAGGTGTACAAAAATATGCTGAAAATTTAGGGCAAAGCAGAAACCCTGGCATAGAGGCTGCTCCCTTGCAATAAGGTAGCAGTAGTCCATTCATGAAGGAAGTTGGTTCTCGAAAGTTAACCAAAAAACCCAAATGCACCTTAGCTCTTTACTAATTTGACTTAATCTACTGTATTAATGGTCTGACAGAAGAGAAAGCATACTATTTTCTGGAACTAATTTTTTTTTAATTTAAAAATATTAGACTTGTATTATGAATTGGGTGAAAGAGTATATAAGTTTACCACTCAATAATTTGTACATACTTAATATATTTTTTATCTTGATTATTGCATGCTTTAGTGTAATACGTGCATGAGCAGGGCACCTGCTCTTACCCAAGAAACCTCTTCATAACCCAAAGTAAAAGAAACTTTCCCCCTACGCTGTAGTTTTATGTATGTTTTCTCAACAATGTCTAATGCATTTCAAGTTAATTTTGTATGCATGTGATGGGGGCCCCATTTGACCTCCTCTTACTACACAAAGGGGGAAGGGAGTCCAACTCCTTATCTGCTTAAGGATGAGTCTGATGAAGCAGAGGTCAGATATACCTTCTCCTTCCAGCGTCCTCTAGCCGAGTGGTTCTCAACCTCCTAATGCCGCGACCCTTTCATACAGCTCCTCATGTGGTGGTGACCCCAACCATAACATTATTTTCATTGCTACTTCTTAACTATAATTTTGCTACTGTTATGAATCATAATGTAAATATCTGATGTGCAGGATGTATTTTCATTGTTACAAATTGAACATACCGGTAATTAAACATAATTAAAGCATAGTGACTAATCACAAAACAGTATGTAATTATATATTGTGAAATATTTATGTGTTTTCTGATGGTCTTAGGTGGCCCCTGTGAAAGGGTCATTCAACCCCCAAAGGGGTCATGACTCACAGGTTGAGAACCCCTGCTCTAACCGGTTCTGACACCAACCATCCCTCCCATGACAATCTACTTCTCTGCTGGGCTCATTAATCCACTGAAATGACCAAGCAGAACTCACTTAACAATACTCGTCATAGCACGAGGTTTCTTAGGGCTGCTAACAGGTTACAAAATGTTAAAGATAACATTTATTTTGTCCACATGCTTCTCACCCATGCTGGCAGGTATATAACTCCATTCATTAGCCTCTCAGCCATGTGGACCCTTGGCCTGCTTGAAGTACTTAAATATATACTTGTTTAATGAATCATTGTGGAATTGGACTATTTATTAATGCTCATAAAGACATTGAAACATTACATTATTCCTAATTATTAAAGATATTGGGCATACAACTAGAGAGAGATGATATTGGAGATTACATATGGAAACAAATAGATACTACATAATCCCAGTTCTATCTGACTATTTAAGATTCTTCACCAGCACCACAATTCCAACACATCGATTCTTGTTCAGTCTTATATACATGTGAGGCAGTTGAAACTACCATGGCTTGGGTCAGGCACACCTTAGTCCTCAAAATAACATCCTTGCTTTTCTATACTCCAAAGAGGTCTTGTGCTTCAGATTTATGCAGTACAACACATCTTTTGATCGCTTGACTCCTGTTTCCATGAGCTTTGATTATGGATCCGAACAAGACAAAATCCTTGAAAACTTCCGTATTTCCTCCTCCACCCTCAACAAGATGAACCGACACAGCGCAGGAACCATCCCGAGGACGTCGCAGGGCCGAGCCGCGTTGTGTTCTGTTGTGCATGGGGTCGCCGTGGCTTGGGACCAACTTGATGCCACCCAACAGCAACCACATAAAGTTCTTGTCCTGACGTTTGTTGTAAGATGAACTGTGAAAACATCTGGCCTTTGGAAGGAAGGATAGTTAGGGTGCAGATTGATGAGAGGGTGATCACATTATGCCAAAGCAATTTTGCTTTTAAGCTGCTGGAAAATCTGAATGAGACTGTAATTTTTTCTCATCCCCCTTCTGCTTCCATCTAAAATGCTATCATTACAAACCCATTTACTTTATTATTATCAATAAGTATGCACAGCAATAGAAACAGTTTGATATGTTTGGATACTGGTAATTTTTTTATTGTCATTGTTTTTGTTTCGTTCTTTAAGTAACACAAATTAATGAAGCTGTAACATTTATTTATACCCATTAGGACATGAATGGCATGATGAATTTTCTCATATTATGGCAATGACAGATCCAGCTTTTGGATCTTCAGGAAGACCAATGCTGGTTTTATCTTGCATTTCTCAAGCAGATGTAAAAAGAATGCCCTGCTTTTACTTGGCCCATGAATTACGCCTGAATCTTCTAAACCACCCTTGGATGGTAAGGCCCTATCTTCTCTGTCGATAAATCTCTTGTTTTACTTTTCACTCCATGTTATCTTTGATTTTACTCTTTCTTACTCATCTCTTTAATGAAATAGCATTCTATAAACCAGTTTTAATAGCTTAATCTGTGGGAGATGGTTGACTGGTTTCAATAAATATCAGGTGATAACTGCTCTGTATGTAATCCTCTTGTATAGGATTAAAAAGGGAAAAAGTGAGATAACAATTGTGGGTTTCCTGTTTTTTTTTACATGCCACTGCCTTGAAGTTTTAAAAAAGTATTAATATATTATACTTTAAGGGCTATCAAAAATGTAAATTCCATCTTTTTGAAATTTTTTGTTGTGTATTAGGCAACGGTTTATATTTCATATCATCATGTGTACATTCAACAGTACTTTAAATAATATATCAAAACTTCCCCCTCCACCCTTATTTCTCTTCTCCTCTTGTAGCCCCTTCACCATAGATACCGCCCGTCCACCTTCTAGTCCATTGCTTCCTTTTACCTCCTTTCCTCTCATCTCCCAGTAACCATCAACGCATGTTTCTTTTGGTATAAAAACCCTTTCTTGATTTTTTAAAATCACAGTGGTCTCAAAAATATTTGTCCTTTTGTGCTTATCTAACTTCGCTCCTCATAATGTCCTCCAAACCTGTCTTTGCCACAAGGTGTTTCACAGCTTCACCATTATTCTTCAGTGATGCTTAGCATTCCATTGTATGTACGTATCAAAGTCTTATTTATCCATTCTTCTACTCATCGGTGGTCATTTAGGCTGTTTCCTTCTTCTTGCTATTGTGAATATTGCTAAGATGAACAAGGGTATATACATAAATCTGTTCGTGCTGTATCTCTTTATTTCCCTATTAAAGGACTTGCTGGTCATACGGTGTTTCTACTGCCAGTTGTTTGAAGAAGGATCATACTGCTTTCCATGATGGTTGTATAGTTTTATAGTCCCACTAGCATTGTATGAGGGTTCTAATCTTTCTGTACCCTCTTATAGAATTTTTTTCTGTTTTTTTTTAACTTTGCAGTCAATGCTAGTGTGAGGTGGTTTCGTACTGATATTTTGATTTGCATCTCTTGTAATGGCTAATGATTTCCATCATTTCTTCATATGTGTGTTGGGGCTCCTGGGTGCCTTTTTTTGGTGAACTATCTGTTGGTGTCCTCTGCCTATTGTGATATTAGATTATTAATCTTCTTGTTGAGATGTTGCACTTTCCTATGGGTTTCAGAAATTAGTCCCTTCCCTGATAACATCATTGACAGTTTCTTCCCTCAGCCTCTGGGTTATTTTTTTACTCTTTTGATGAAGACTTTTGAAGCGCATTGTGTCTTATTTTAGGAGGTACCAATCCTCTATTTTGTCTTCTACATTGTGCATATTTTGCTATGTTTGATATTGTGTTTATGCCCTTTACTAAGGCCCTTAGTTTGTCACTATTTTTCTGTGATGAACTTTTTAGTTTTAAGGTTTACATTTAGTTCATTGATCCATCGGAGTTCATTTTTGTCTAGGGTGAGGTATGGGCCCTGTTTCACTTTTCTGCAATGACCACCCAATTTTGCCAACACCATTTGTCAAAGAGACTATCTTGTCCCCATTTAATGATTTCTTTAGCCCGTTGTAAAAAATCAGTTGTATATTGGGAGATGGAAAACCCTAGTGGCATAGTGGTTACGTGTTGGGCAGCTAACTGCAAGGCCAGCCGTTAAAACCACCAGCTGCTCTAGGGGAGCTGGGGCTTTCTACCCCCTAAATAGTAACAGCCTCAGAAACTCACAGTGGCAGTTCTACCCTGCCCTATAGAACCTCTACAAGTTGGATAGATTTATTATGCTGGGAATAACACAATCAAGAGGAATGGCATGCCATTCGTTGTCAGAAAGGATTTTGCTAAATCCATCATAAAGTACTGTTGGTAATATCCACCTTCAAGGAAATCCAAGAAATACATTATTTTTCAAATTTCTTCACCAATCATAAAGCTGAATGATGAAGAAATTGAAGAATTATACCAGTGACCTCAGTCAGAAATTGATCAAACATGCCATCAAGATACATTGATAGCTATTGGTGATTGGAATACAAAAGTTGGAAACAAAAGGAAGGAAGAGTTGTTGGAAAATACGGACTTGGTGATAGAAATGAAGCTGGAGATCCCATGGTCGAATTTTGCAAAATCAAAAACTTGTTCATAGCAAATACCTTTTTTCAACAACAAAAGTCAGAAAAACAAGTTGATTATACACATGGGCTTCCCCAGATTGAATAAACAAATCAAATTAACTACATCTGAGGGAAGACGCAATGGAGAAACTCAATATTGGCAACTAAAACCAGGCCAGTGTTTGACTGTGGAACAGACCATTAATTGCTCATATGTAAGTTCAGCATAAAGCTGAAGAAAATTAAATCAAGTTCACAAGAGCCAAAATATGACCTTGAATTGATTGCGCCTGAATTTCTAGATCACCTCAAGAACAGATTTGAAGCATTGCACGCTAATGACAGAAGACCTATAGAAGACTAATGACATTAATGACAACACTAATGACAGAAGACCTGTGGGAGGACATCAAGACCCTCATTTATGAAGAAAGCGAAAGGTCAAAAAAAGACAGGAAAGAAAGAAAAGGTCAAAGTGGATGTCAGAAGAGACTCTGAAACTTGTTCAAAACTGTAGAGTAGCTAAAGCAAATGGAAGAAAGAAGTAAAAAAGACGAATAGAAAATTTCAAATGGCAGCTCAAGAAGACAAACCAAATTAGTGTAAGGAAATATGCAAGGGACTAGAATTAGAACACCAAAAGGGAAGACCACGCCCAGTGTATCTGAAACTGAAAGAACTCAGGAGAAATTCAAGCCTTGACTTGCAATCTTGGAAGAGTATGGGCAAAATATTGAACGATGCAGAAAGCATCAAGAGAAGAGGGAAAGAACACACAGAATCATTGTACCCCCAAACAAACAAACAACTAGTTAACGGTCCATCATTTCAGGAGGTAGCATATGAGCAAGAACCAATGGTGCTGAAGGAAGAAGTTCAAATGGTACAGAACGCATTAGCCAAAAACAATGCTCCATGAATTGATGGAAGACCAATCGAAATGTCGCAGCAAGCCCAAGAAGCACTTACTTGTTTATCAGGAAAATTGGAAAACAGTTACTTAGCTAACTTGGCTAGCTGGAAGCGATCCATATTTGTGTCCATTCCAAAGAAAGATGACCCAACAGAATGGTCAAATAATAGAACAATATCATTGGGATCACGTACAAGTAAAATTTTGCTTAAGATCATGTAGCAACAGTTGCAGCAGTATATTCACAAGGCTCTGCCAGAGGTTCAGGCCAGATTAAGAAGAGGACGTGGAACAAAGACTATCATTGCTGATGTCAGATGGATCTTGGCTCAAAGCAGAGAATACCAGAAAGATGTTTACCTCTCTTGCATTAGGTATGCAGAGACATTCTACTATGTGGACCATAATAAACTGTCCAGAACATTCTTTGTGCTCATGATGAACTCGTGCATGTATCAAGAGGCAGTTGTATGAACAGAACAAGGGTATAAATACTGCATGGTTTAAAATCAAGAAAAATGTTCATCAGGGTTATATCTTGTCACCACACTTCTTCAATCTGTATGCTGAGCAAATCAGAGAAGCGGTATTATATAAAGAATGTGGCATCAGGATTAGAAGAAGGCTTATTAACAACCTGTAATATGTAGATGACACAACCTTGCTTGCTGAAAGGAGGAATTGAAGCACTTGTTGATGAAGATCAAGGATGGTAGCATTCATTGTGGATTATGGCTAAACATAAGAAAGACCCAAATCCTCAGAACTAGACAATAGTTAATTAACATCATGAAAAATGAAGAAAAGGTTGAAATTGTCAAGGATTTTGCCTTCCTTGGATCCACAATCAATGCACATAGAAACAGCAGATAGAGATCAAACATCGTATTTCATTAGGTAAATCTGCTGCACAAGACCTAGTTAGAGTATTGAAGAGCAAGGATGTTACTCTGAGGACTAAGGTGCACCTGCTCCTTGCCATGGTATTCTTTATTGCCTCATATGCATGTGAAAGTTGGACATTGAATATGGAAGACTGAAGAAGTAGCGACCCATTTGAATTGTGCTGGAGAAGAATACTTATAATACCACGGACTGCTAAAAGGACAAAGAGATCTGTATCAATAGAAGTAAGGCCACAGTGCTCCTTCAAGGCAAGGATGACAAGACTTCGTCTTACATGTTTTGGACTTACTATCTGGAAAGCCTGGTCCCTGGAGAAGAACATCACATTTGGTTAAGTAGGAGGGGCAGTGAAGAAGAAGGCCCTCGTCGAGAGCTATTGACAATGACAATGGCTGCATCAATGGGTTCAGACATAGGAACGATGGTGAGCATGGTGCAGGACTGTGCAGTGTTCCTCCTGCTGCGCACAGGACCACTATGGGCTGGAGCTGAGTCAATGGCAGCTAACAACAGTAACTGTCCTCCATAGATTTGTGTTATTCTTTTTTATTTCAGTTAATCCAGTCATGATGGTGCCCTTTCCTTTTCTTATTTGTGGCATCTTCTTCTTTTCCTTGGTTGTTTGACAGCAGTTTCTCAATTTTGTCAATCTTTTCAAAGAACCAACTTCCTGTTTTCAAAGAGCCACCTTCCTGTTTTACTGACCCCCCCCCCCATTTCCTGAAATTTATTTCTGCTCTAATCTTTGTTATTTCTTTTCTTGCGGCTGGAGACATAGTTTGCTGCTCTTGTTCTAAATTTGATAAGAAAATGATATTTAACAAAGTAACCTCAAACAAAATGGAAAAAAAACTTCATCAAATAAAAGCTAAAAGTAAAATAACAGAAAAGAAAAAGATGCTGAGGAAACCTACAAACAAAATGAACTTGGTATAGAAAATTATGAGGAAAAAAGAAAACAATAACACTACACACACAAAACTACGTAGCAAAGTGACAGCAATACCTTCATATGTATCGATGACAACACACTGAATGTAAATGGATTAACTGTACCTATCAGAAAGCAGAGAATAACAGAATGGGAAGAAGGTAAGACTCATCAAACTGTACTTTGAAGGAACACAATAGATTTAAAATGAAAATTTAAAATTTCTTGAGACAAATCAGTACAAAAGTACAAAAAAACCGTCAGGACATATAAGAGGTACCACTCCAAAAAGCCGGAATTGCTTTGGGGGGAGCGGAGCTTTCATAGGACACATTTTTTCCAGCTCGGTGAGCATCGAGCAACTTGCTCTGAATTAGTGCACCCAGTGGTGTTGCCTAGGAAGGTTCTCTCTGGTCACAGTGTATTTTTTCATAAAAGTAGTTTTGCTCAAACCTCGCGTTTTGTGATGGCCGATTTAAGAGAACAGTGTGTGGCTGTGAAATTTTGTTTCCTGCTTGGGAAAAATGCTGCAGAAAATGTGATGTTAAACACATCTGTCTTACAATGACAGCACTATGGGGAAAACTCAAGTGTACAAGTGGTTTTCTCATTTCAAAAAGGCAAAATGTTGATTAATGACAAACCTCGTTCTGGATGTGCATCATCTTACCGAATGGACAAAAATGTGGGCTCATCATACATTTGGAGTTCGTTCTATCACGTCAAACTGTTAATCTTTCTTATTTAGAGGTTCTGAAAAAATTTTGTATGTGAAAAAAAAGGTCTGATTTGTGGCAGATGGGGGACTGGTTTTGCCACCATGACAATGCACTTGTTCACCCAGCCATCTCAGTGCGCCAGTTTTCGGCAAATAAACAGTATGCCCCTCTTGCCTCATGCACTTTACTCATGCACTTGACCTCACGCCATGTGACTTCTTTTTGTTCAGCAAATGAAGAGGGACATGAAAGGACAGTGATTGGATAACATATAAGAGGTGAAGAAAAAAAAGAGGGAGGTGCTGTCAGCCATCTAAACAGATGAGTTTGAAAAATGCTTCCCAGAATGGAATCACAGATTTGACAAATGTATTAAGTGTAATGGCGAGTACTTTGAAGGCGATATGGTTGTTACATAAAACAATTTAAATACATTGCTTTGAAAAAAAAATTCCTTTTTTTTTTGTTGGGTGGTGAAGGTACCCACTCATAGCAGAGGGCACTTGGTAGCAATAAAGATATGCATCAATAGAGAAGAGTGAATGAAAATCAAGATGTTGACTCAATATCTCCAACATTTAGAACAGGGAGTGTGAGAAACCTGGTATGTTTCACCATTTCCCTCCTGAGTTGTGCAGCAGTGCTGTGAATGCTCCACACCCCCAGGGGAGGGGTGCAGCCTTCCTCTTAGTGGACGAGGTTGAATTCTGGTATTTTCCCATACATGTGGCAATGGTGGGCAGCAAGGGAAGAGCCTGCCTCATTGGGGCAGGTGCTCTGGTCTTATTTTTATCTGTGCGCTATGGAGGACAAAGTTGATTGGGAGTTCTTAGTCCCATTTTTTTAATGTCTGGGAAAATCTCCCTGGTAGTATTAAGGTTTTGGATTCGCTTTCATATTAATAATGTTCTCTTTCTTTCTTTAAGTAATGTTCTGTTTTCTCTGTCATAGGTTCAGGATATAGAAGCTGAAACTCTACATGGCTTTTTGAATGGTATTCAGTGGATTCTTGAAGAAGTGGAAGCCAAGCATACAAAATGATTCTCCTTCTGGACCTTGGAGGGAAGCGGAAACCATTTGAAGTTTGTTACTAAGGTCATGATATGGATGGATATTTGCTCCGGTCAGCTCACTTTGTACTGCCTTTGTACAGGTGGCCTGTAATGCCGTGTTTCCCATATTAAGTCCCCTTTACCTTAAATCAATTAGAAGAAAAGATTTTGACTGCTAGCATATAGTCCCAAAGTGAACCTTTAAAATTTTTTGATAACTTTTATATTTTCTGGCTTAATAAAAATATTGAATTCTGGGGGAAAAACCCGCATTGTTCTCTCATTCCTTGTGATTTTTATTATTTCAATGATTGCCTTAGTGAGGAATAGCACATTTGCAGAGCTTTCCGTAGAGAATTGCATATATTCTTAATAAAGCATTGGTTAAGACCAGAACATTCATTGAAGTTGCATTTAATTTTGTTCCCACACAACTTCTTTTTCCCCCATGAAAGCCAACAATATATCAAATGTAGTATTAATTCAGTGAAAATAATTTTTCCTGGAAATTCCTGTTATTTCCAAATAAGTTTGAAAGCTTATAGGTACTAAAGGAAAATGCTATTCCATACTTCTAGAGAAAAAATATATTTTAAAATTTTAAATTAATCCATTTCTCTTTCTTTCTTTCTTTTTTTTTTTACTCAAAACATTTTTTACAGAAATAAAAGATGAATTATAACTAATATAAAAAGCAGATGCAGAAATTTACTTAAAATTGAACACATTTTCCTCAATAAGAGTAACACTCTTTGGGCACACATCCTCATCACCATTGAGCTGTTTCCAACTATAGCCAACTTGCAGGAGAGAGTAGGACTGCCTCAGCCGTTTTCCAAGGTTATAATTTTTTTAAATTAAATACTTGTATCGGGGGCTCTTACATCTCTTATCACACTCCATACATTCATCCAGTGTGTCAAGCATATTTGCACATAGCTGCCAGCATCATTTTCAAAACATTCTCTTCCCACTTGAGCCCCGGATATCAGCTCCCCATTTCTCCCTCCTCCCTCACAAACCCTTGATTAGTTATGGATTGTTATTTTCATATTTTACATCGAGAAAATATTTCTTAAGGTGCTTCAGAAAGTTCATGGGAAAATGGAATGAAAAGGCCGTGCATTTTCTCCCCAAATATTTTGAAGCCCCTTATATGTAGCATGGCCTCTCGGAAACAAATTGCCAGCGCTCTTCAGATGGCTCCACTACTTCATGACAAGTCACTCCCTACAGTGACCTCTTCTCTCTCGGGATTCTCACCTCCCAGCCCATAGACGGACTCTTTCTCATGGCTATCCACCTTGCTCTGCTCCATCTATTGAATTTAGGATTAAATTGCTCAGAAAGCGAAAATAAGAGGAACGGGATGAGGAAGAACCCTTGCCAACGAAACACACGAGTTTTTTTCTAGTTCTTCAATGCTTCCTCCCCGCACCCCCAATTCTACTTTACAAATCCGGCTAGACCAGAGCATGTACATTGGTACAGGAAAGAGCTCGCAACACAGGGAATCCAGGACAGATTAAACCCTATACCAGGAGGGTAAGGAGAAGATGGGGGGAGAAGGGGAACCGATCACAATGATCGACATATAACCCCTTTCCAGGGGGATGGACAACAGAAAAGTGGGTGAAGGGAGACAGTGGTCAGTGTAAGGCATGAAAAAAAATTATCAAGGGTTTAGGAGGGGGCGCGGGGGAGGGGAAAATGAGCTGATACCAAGGGCTCAAGTAGAAAATGTTTTGAAAATGATGGCAACATATGTACAATAGTGCTTGACACGATGGCTATATGGATTGTGATAAGAGCTGTGAGACTCCAATAAAATGAGGGGGAAAAGAGCCCATTAATACTTTTGAACCTATGCTTTTGAGGGATATTTTCCTATAATATTTTCTTGTGATGTCCTTGTCACATTTTGATATGAAGATTATCCTGATCTCATAAAATGAATTTTGAAGTATGCCTTTTCTGGAATGTACAAATATGCTTTACACAATTGATGCGTGTATGGGTTGTGATAGGAGTTGTATAACTATTTAAAAAAGTTGTATAAGGTTAGTATTAACTATTTATTACAAGTAAAAAAATGGAATCTGCATTATGCTTTGAGGGGAAATTTTTAATCACATTTAAAATGTTTAATCTCAATTATTCTAAATTTTCTTCATTTTCTATTCTTCTATCATAGATGATCTGTGGTTTAATGAGCCTATAGGATAGTACCCAGCACATAAAGTCATCCATAGCTAGTCAATAATGGGTACTTTTACCTGATTCTTTATCTATTTCATTTCCTAGCACTGCTAGCATCCAGATATCATTGTATAAATGACAACTTTTATCAGCCTTTATGCAATTGCATAAAATGCCTGATGTATAGGAAATTGTGATTATTACCCTGATGATAAGTGGCAGTATTGTTTCACTAATAAATCATTTATAAGGTAATTTGACAAAAGAATGAGAGTAAGGTTTCCCCAATATGAGAATGCTCCATTTTTAGCAATAATAAATGTAAAAATAATTCAATATTTAGAGCATGTTTCCTATGTGTCATGTTTTATGCCAGTTTCTGGGAACAGAAACAAATAGCAATTTAAAGCTCTTGGTAAGCATGACTTTTTCAGCAATTTTCTCTCATTTCAGCTAATGGTAGAGTGGAACTCTATAATTACATAGCTGGTAAACTATGCAATTCTTTCTTCAATGGCTTCCTGTGTGATGAAGTATCTGTTTGTATGCAACCACAGTGACACTTCATCACACAGGAAACCAAAGAAGAAAGTCTCTGAGTTCTCATTAACGAAGGCAGAGAGAATCGTCCTGTGTTCGTGAAAACAAAGGGGCTAAGAGAATGCGGGACGATCTAGGATCCCGGGGGCTATAGAGGTTACACATCGCCCTGCTACAGCAAGGTCGGCAGTTTGAAATGACCATCCATTCCCCTGGAGAAAGATGAGGCTTTCTACTCCCATAAGGACTTATAGTCTTGGGGACCCACAGGGGCAGTCCCATAATTGGCATTGACTTGATGGCAGTGAATGAGTTTTGAATGCCTTTTAGATTTGGTCTTACTTGTAAAGAGCTTTCAAATCAAGAACTAAAAAGTATTTGTTCTTTGAGTGATTATTTTACGTCTGAGAAATTACCTTTAGGGGGGTGGGGGGATGGGGAAAAATAAGAAATTACCTTTAAGAAAAATCCTGTGTCAAAAACGGTTACTAATATTAAGCTGTAATTTGCTGTATATAACTATACTTTGCTACAGCTAAAATCGCCAATGCTTCATAATTTTAAATTTATAGTAGCATAATTCTGGAGAAAGTGTAATACCTAAACTGTTTCTAGCCCAAGTTTCTGTAACTTCCACCAAGTGACAGGTGGAACCATGCAAATAAGGGGTGTGTAACTCTGTCATGGGGATTGATCTCTTTTTGCCGTCCTGTTGGGCATAACTGAGCAATCACAGAAACAGGAAAGGGGAACCTCCCTGTCATCAGGAAGAAAAGTCTGGAGTAGAGCGTGTCCTCTGATCCTCGAGATCCCTGCGCACTGGGCCTCTCAACCCATGAGACACCGGGTGGTGAGGCAGAAGCAGTGGCCATAGCTGCAGCTGCATGAGCCAGTGCATGAGACACAGCAGCCGTCATGTCATCCCAGCCCAAGGAGCAAGCACAGCTGAATGCCTTTAGGCAGGAGGCCCACTCGTGGAATGGGTAGGAGCCAGGTTTGATGACTCCCAGAGCTAGATCAGAGGGTCTTTGAGCTGAGGCTTATCGTGGACTTTAGGTGTCATTTGGACATCTATTAGCAGAACTACAGGAATATTAACATTGAGCATGGCTGAGGCTAAGGGGAATTGTGGCTGAGAACCCGAAGACCAGAACAAGGCATGCTTGTGGGCACCACTGAGAAGAGGCAATCCTGACTGGAAGAACTGTATCCCAAGCATTTCTGATCTCGAATCATAGCCTGCTAATTTCTTTAAAAAGCCCACAATCATGAATATTGTCTGTGAGTTCCGTATGGCCATTGAAATAAATTTTGGAACCCAGCAGAGAAGCAGAGTGCCTTGGGAGGGACAGTTGGTGTCAGAGTGGGTAAGATGGTTACAGGGGTAGACAAGTTTGACCTCAGCCTTGTAGGAATCAGCTGCTGGTTGATGTGAAACTGGGCATCTTTCCCTCTTCTGAAGTCAGGGGAGGTCAGTTCTCAGTGTATATGCTTAATGGTTTCCACTGTTACAGCCAGATAAAGAAAGACCATGTAAGCTTTATGAAGGTGATAGTTTCTGTTTATTTTTTACCCCTGCTGGGCACATAGTAGATATCAGGTAAATATAACTTGAATAAATGGTAGAATTTTCAACCTGGCCATTAAATGATGCTTTTGAATAATATTTAAATCCATAAAATTGTTAATATGTTTTATAGTAAAAAGCAGATTATGAAATAGTGTTTACAGCATGATCATTATTTTATCTTCAGAAATTTGAATACTCCTCTGAAAAGACATAATTCACAGTTGAAAGCAGCATTTATCTTTTGAAAATCAACAAAAGTTTTATAACTGGTAGAATATACCCAGATGTTGCAGAAATCCTTTAAATAAGACAATTAAGACAGTGGGGCACACTACTGGCTGAAAATCACTTGCCTTGATTAATTTTTCCATTCCAGAAACTTGATCTTATGAGAACTTTTCAAGGATCCCAACCAATTAAAAACAAAAAAGAGGCCAACTAATTTGCATATGCCAAATCATATCTAAAAAATATACCCATGGGTCATTTGCCGTTGTGATAAATGATTTTATAAAGTTTTTGATTAGCTTTCTACCCAGAGAAAAAGTTCTAGAAGTCAAGGCTAACACTAAATCTCCCTACTAAGAATTCTCATCTATAATACCAGAATGCAGAAAGTATTTGCTCCAAATCACAAGGTTAACTAAGGGCCTCTTCATTTCTTCCTATATTCACTTCAAGTGTACATTAAACATTGGAAGGCAAATGTGAAAGGTTGTCTGGTTCCTCCAAATTTCCAAATTGAATCACAACGAATCCTTGATTTCAGTCTCTAAATCCTCAGAATCAGCAGAAGTTTATAAATATTTCTTACCAGTTCCCACATAAACAAAGATCCTTTATACTTTTACACTCATTCACTGGGGAAATTTGGGTCAATTGTCAAAGCTAATAATATTGTTTTGAATAAATACTTGGTAGGGCTATATTCAACACTGTGTGTAGTATTTTAGAAACATCTAAATCTTAGGAGAAGTATTCCTTTTTTATACATAGCAGGAAAAAGAGAAGAGGCTAGGGGAAGGTACACGGAATATTTGAGGTACAAACAAAAAAATGGGAAAAGATCATACTGGATACTCTTGAC